CTCTTCTATCTAGCTGATCAGTATTTGCATCTGCACCTGTAACTGTTATTTCCTCTCATAGGCTTTATTTTGGTAGTATTTTTAACCTTATCTTATTATGTACTCCCATGCAATACATATGACAGTTAAAGCCACGAGTGAAAGTATTGGTGTTGTTATTGCTATAGCTAATAGAAAATCAGCCGTAGTTATCTCAATAGGATTGAGTACATCATATATTTCAATATAATTGAAGAAAAGATATGCTTTAGCTAAAATAAGAAATATATCAACCAAACCAACTCCTATAGCAATACTTATGACACAAAACATAGACAATGGTACAATTTCCCCTAGCCTTAATTAAGGCTACTTTATGCTTCTAAGTCAGAGAGATCTTTTAGGGGAAAGAAAAATAAAAGCTAAAGTTAATACTAATGCAGAAATACCACCAACAAATCCACCTATCGCAGAGTTTACAAGGCTGTAAAACCAATACTAGGCGAGTTAAGAACTTGTTCAAGATTATCATTGCAGCTATTAATGCACATACGAGAAGTAAAAGGCCTAACATTACTTTTTTAAGTTATCTTAACTTTTAAATAAAAAATATTCCATAGCGCTATGTCAATCAACCATAGTTTTGTTTTACCTATATCACATATTGAAGCCTTTAACTAAGTTGACAAAGGGTAATTTTAATGAAATAATTGGGCCATTATTTGTAGCATATTTATGTCTAGTGGCACTATTAACAAAGTTATACTTATTGGAAATTTAGGCAAAGATCCCGAAATCAGAAGTACACAAAACGGAAAGGAAATGGCTAATTTTTCAATAGCTACATCTGAAAGCTGGGTCGATAAGATCTCCGGTATGCGTTCTGAAAAAACAGAGTGGCATAATATTGTAGTTTTCAGTGAAGGACTAGTAAAAATCGTCAAGGATTTTGCTCGTAAAGGCAGCAAAGTCTACATTGAAGGATCTCTTCGTGCGAGAAAATGGACTGACAAAAATGGTAGTGAAAGATATATAACAGAAGTTGTATTACAAAACTTTAGCAATACTCTTACTCTCTTAGACTCGCGAAATAGCGCACTAAATTCTACAAATGAGTATTCTGTAAATGAGTATAAACAAAGTGAGTATAAACGAAATCAAGAAAGTAAGCATGAAAGTGACGATATAAAAGATGAACTCATTGATGATGAGATACCATTTTAGAAAACAGTCCATCTACTATAAAAGTTTGCTTTAGTGAAGATGAAGCAT